TGTGCAAGAGCAGCCATGTTCTTAACCCTTGATCCATCTCTCTATTCCCCCCAAATTTATTGTTTTTATTTTATGCATATGAGTGCTTTGCCTACATGTATGTAAGCACAGAATATGTATGTGTGTGCAGTACCCGCAGAGGCCAGAAAAGGGCATCAGATCCCCTGAAACTGGAGTTACAGAAAGTTGTTAGCCACCATGTTGGTGCTGGGTACTGAATCTGGGTCCTCTGCAAGTGCAACCAGTTCTCTTAAACCCTGATCCATTTCTCCTTCATTGACTGCTTTTGCAGAGGACCCAGGTTTGAATCCCAGCACCCACATGGTGGCTAGCAACCATCTGTAACTCCAGTTCCAGGAGATCTGATGCCCTCTTCTGACCTCTGTGGGCATTACATGTCTCAGGTACATTTACAAAAGTGCAAGCAATATGCATAAAATGAAACTATTAATAAATAAAATATATAACAAAGAATGCTACTCATTTGTCCAAGGAAGTAATCCATACATGGGCCAGCAGCTATTACTGTGCTGCACATGATTATGCTTATGATTATCCAGACTCAAGACTCAGCTGCCTTCCGTACCACCAAGGGCAATGATAAAGGCTTATCCTTTCAATGAGGGTGTCACGGTTCCTTCATTTCTCCAGATGATGCTTTGTTTACTGGTGAATGTTGGTACAGAGGAGAAATTCCAGGGCCCTTTCCAGACTTACAGCCACTACCTGACAAGACAGAAAACTGATGCAGAATTTCTTCCATTTCTAAAGGTACACATTTCAACTGTGTGTTTACAAGTTGGGGAAATGATTGTAGATGGGAATAGTGACCTCATCCGGCCTATAGTGACTCTAACATTCTATTAATCACATGTCTCATGAGTCTTTGACTAGAATGTCTGAGTCCACAGAATATAGTATTAGTCCCAAAGCATTGCCTGAGAACACAGTAAAATGTAGGTAGGCATTTCTCTTTCTCTGTTATTTTCTAAACAGCTTCATTTTGGGGTGAGGGTGGAAGAAATATTCCCAGTAGAATGGCCACAAAATATTTTTAGGACCACTACTCTCTTCTAGATGGTGTTTTAGGTTCATTAAGTGACTCTGGTGGTGGGTCTGGGTTGGGGAGTGACTTGATCATGAAGTATTAGAATTCTGCTTTCAAGGAATGGAGGACTTTCATTAGGTAATACAAATCAAGTGGGATACAATGAAGGCTTTCTTCTTGCTTCTTTGAGACTGCGTACTTGATCTATCATGCAAACTTGGCCAAGGAAATGACTAAGCACTGACCTCATGTTGCTTTCCATTTCTTTGGGTACCAGAAGCAGGATGGAAACTGGCTTGTGTGGTGATGTGCTGCTTATCCATGTGTTTCTTGAATCTCTGTCGAGGAAAAGTCTGCTGCCTACCAGATTTAGCTTAGCACCCAAAGATATCTTCAAACAGGCATGGGTTCAGACTATGAAAAGTCAGAAGATAAAGCCAAAGACCATAGGCAAGAAGAATAAACCCATTGCTTTCCCAAGCCCAACACTGGTTACAGTCACATTAGCAGATGACAAAGAGTGCATTTGCTTTGCCTTTGGTCTATTTTTACTTTCAAGTTTTTAATAATGTAATGAGTTTCCTGTCTTGGTGATGCATGGCTTTAGTCTCAGCACCCTGAAGGCAGAGGCAGGCACATCTCTGTGAGTTCAAAGCCAGCCTGGTATACATAGTGAGCTCCAGGCCAGCTGAGGCTACACGGAGACCCTGTCTCAGAAAAAGACCAAAAAATATAATGAATTTAAAAATCAATTGTTAATTATTATTTCATTTCATTATATTTAATTAAACTTTAGAACAAAATATGTTATTTTTTTCAAATTACAGGTGTAAAGTCAAATCGATGTTTTATGATAGGCATGAATAAAAGAATAGAAAAAAGGAAAATATTAAAATGCATGAATAAACTAAGGATATTTTGTGAAATTTTTCATTCTTTTCATATACAATTAAATATAATAGAATACTTCTTATTCTTTAGATTTAACACATTTACAAATATCCCATGGTAGACAATTTGTGTTATGCCTGTTTACCTACAACTTCATGTTTGATTACTCTTTCAGTCCCAGCTTATGCTGTACAGGCAAACACAGCTTATGCGTCCAGACATCTGGACTGGAGAGATGGCTCAGCAGCTAAGAATGTGACCTGCTCTTTGAGAAGTGTCATATCCACACACAGTAACACCCAGACACACAAAATTTTAAAAAAGAGTTCATATATCATATTTTCACAGAACCTTGTCTACCTGAGAATGATTTTATTTTTTAACAATGAAAATATAACCCAAGTATAAAAATTGATTTTGACACAAATTTCAACTGAAAACACTGTAGCCTTCTTTGTTTTGTTCAGGCAAGGTTACATTATTTAGCTTAGGTTGGCCTCAAACTTGTGATCTTCCTGCCTCAGCCTCTCCAGTGCTAAGATTACAGGCAGATGGTGACATCCTGGCTACCCCTAAAAATTTGTTCCTTAATCCATTGTCTTTTGGAATTTGTATTGTAGTGAACTCCAGGATTTTATTTTTAAAGTAATTCTTGGGGCTGAAAATGGCTCAGCAGTTAATAGCACTGGCTTTTCTTCCAGAGAACTAGGGTTCTAAAGGTACACATTTCAACTGTGTATTTACAATTTGGGGAAATTATTGTTTCCAGCACCCACATTGTAGCTAACACCTGTCCTTAACTCCAGTTCCAGAGGATTCAATACCCTCTTCTGGCCTTCGTGGGCACTGCATGCATGGGTACACTCACATACATGCAGGCAGAACAGTCATATGTAATAAAATAAAAGTAAATTAAAAATAATAATCTTTGTGTGCATATGTATGTGTGGGTTCATGTGGTAGAACCATTCCCCTCTCTCTACATTTTAAATTATAGTGCTTTCTTTTTTAAAAAAATATTTCATTTATTATTTTTATTTTATGTATATGAATGTATTGCCAGCATGTAGGTAAGTGCACCTGTGTTGTGCAATGCCCGTGGAGGAGAGAAGAGGCAGTCAGATCCCCTGGAACTGGAGTTATGGACAGTTGTCAGCTGCCATGTGGGTGCTGGGATTCAAACCCGGGTCTTCTGCAAGAACAACCAGTGTTCTTAACCACTGAGCCATCTCTCCAGCCCCTGAAGTGCTTCCTAACAAATATCTACAATCTATCTGCCAACTGAGGTGGCTGTTAAGTGACTAGTGGTCATATGGCACGGTACCTTGGACAGAAAAGTGAGTGACAAGATGTGTGGAGTTATCACACTACTCAGAATCATGTATGCTTTAAAACTTAAAAATTGTTTAGTTTTGGAATTTTCTGTTTGATATTTTCAGACCATAGGTCACTGCAGGTAATTTAAACCAAAGAAGGCTAATCAGCCCTATACTTTACTTTTTACTTTGCTTTACTTGCTGTAACTGATTCATTATTATACCATAGTCTCAACTATACTTTTAATCTATTGTTTTGCTCCTCAAAATTATCAACTGCAAAATATCATTAAAAATGTTAATTTCTTGGGTCTCCTGAATTCCTGCAGAATCAGTATAAAATTATAAACAATTTGGGGCTTAGGAGGTGATTCAGTGGATAAAGAGCATATACTCTTGTGTTCAAGCCTGAGGGCCCAAGGTCAGATCCCAGAATTTATGCAAACATATGGATGTAGCTGTGCACGTCTATAATCCAAGATTCCCAAGGCTTGCTGTCTGCCAGTGAGGGATGCTCTCAAGGGAATATGGCAGAAAGTGAGAGAGCAGGACCTCTGACATCCTCTTCTGTTATCTTTGTGAACATCAACAGGTACACAACCTCAAACACATGCGCCTACACACACACACACACACACACATACACACACACACACATACACACACACACACACACACGCACACACACACACACATACAAAGCGTGTAACTAATTTTGGAAAATTCAGTGATGTTCCCAAGAGAGTGTTGCTGACACGTCAAACTGAACATGAGTCAGGCAGGACTCCGGAAAGGCCTGTCTCCTGATTGAAGAACAAAATTTCAAACTGAGATCCTTGCAAGCTCTTGCTCCCATTTGTTTGCTCCCCTGAACTCAGTCCCCTCTGAAGCCCCCTTGCCTATTCCTGCCTCAGGCCATCCCTTCTCTCTCTGTATGCTCTGGCCCACAAAGCAGGCCTTAAACACTCTATCTGAATTTTGCTTCAGCTGCTGCACAGACTGTTCCCTCTCCCTGGAGACACTTCTCAAATTCCTCTCTGTCAGGATTCTTATCGTTTCGGATCTGCATAATTTCCTCCCATAAGCTCCTCTGACTTCTTAGTCACTCTTTATCCCCTCTTATTTTCATAGAATTTGTTGGAGTCATATGTTTTCTTGCTTCTAAATGCTTTCTGTTGTCTAAAACCTTGATACAGGAAAAAAACTTACCTATCCCCATGCTGGAAGTCCTTACCTCTTCTCATTTCCTGAATGATGGAACACTATCTCAATTAAGGAGCGTCTCTAAAAACTATTTATTTGGTCTCAGAATTTGAAATTTGGAACATTCATATGTTGTAGCTTTATAGTATTCCAAAATAGAATCATTAGAGATTCTACGTTATCCCAAGGAAGACTGCATTTACCTCCTGTGATTAGTATTTCTTATACAAATTAACACTAAGCTATAAATATCTTGTTTTCTATATAGGATCAATACCAGGAGTGATATCTGTATTTGTTGAAAAATTAAATGAACATCTGTTTTTGTCTTCTCTGTTTTTTAATCAGTCTAGGTTTCACTATGTCGACAGATTAGACTTGAACTCATGACTTCCCTGTTCAAATATCCTGAATACTGTGATTACAGGTGTGTGCCACCATGCTCTGCTATATTAGCATCTGTTGTAAAATTCCACAAACATCACTCCATACATATTATTACATTCCATGTATAACAAATTTAAAGGAAATATTGCTAGGTTTAAAAATATATGTTTTATTTGCCAACTCTGTGTGCATATGTGTATACTAATGTATTCATCTGAACACTGCTTGCTTCCGCGAACTTTAAGGCAAACCACTTCAAACATACAGTAATTAGGACTTATTAGGATCTCAGAGTCATTTATGTATTTCTTTTTTAGTCCAGGAAACCATAATTAAATCACTTTCAGAATCAATTCGTGCTAAGGATCATCTCTATAGAACAAATGTGCATCTGCAAAGCTCTACATGTATATCTACCCTCATCTGCAAAGCTCTACATGTATATCTACCCCTCAGCATTTGTGGCCGGCTGGCTATACAAACCAGTCATTGGCTATCAAAATGTATGTATACTCAAGTCTCTTTTATAAAATGGCACAGTATTTGCACATAATAGACACACATCCTCCTGTATATTTTAACTCATTTCTAATTACTACACCTAATACCGTAAAATGCCATATAAATAGTTGCTACACTTCTTCAGGGTACAGAATGCTGACTGTAAACAGAGTGGTTCCCAGGCTCCACAAAGTGCACTTACTAACTCAGGTTAAGAGCTTCTGTTTTAGATAACACTGCTATCTTATTTTGTCCCCAAAGTGTTTCCATTTGCAAACTCTATAAATCTTTAAGAAACAAAGAATCTAACCTGAATTCAAGTAAGCAAATTTAGCTTTCTATGATTCTGTCTTAAAAAGGACACTGTATAATCTTAGAAACAAGGTTGAGAAAGCCAGAAAACTTACTTTTGCATTTTTATTCATTTCCATAGTAATGACTACATAAGAATTTATAGTCCCAAAGGGATATCATTTAATGTAAAAACTATTAGAAGCTCTCATGAACGTGCTGTATTTTCTTTTCTAGTACTTAAAATTCTATATGAAAGTTTTGAGCTTGTTCTCATTCTCAAAGTGGAGGGTGAGTTTGACTGTTGGTGACACAGTGACAAATAGGTCTTTATTATTTTGGACGCTGATACAATGAATCTAATGAGCATCCTTCCCAGACTAGCATATACCCTTTTATTACAAGCATGGCAAACAGTACTGATACAGATACAGGTCTGGCTTGTTGTAGAATTTACTGATATCATTACCTGGACATTGAGTAAAAAGGTATATTACATGATGGTTTTTCCCAGTTTGATTGACTTTGAATCTGTATGCTAACATATGCTTTAATGTATGGAATCCTTAAAGCTCAAATAGTCTCAACAGATAAAGTTTACCTGTTACTATGTTATGCACTTTCAAACATTTAATTTTGGAAAGAAAATACATTTGTTGATTAATAAAATAGTACAATCAAACCTTTATTTTTATCATTAGAATGAAATAATGAATGAAATGAACAAGAAAAAATGGCAAGGAAAGATTTAGCACGAAACTTTTTTTTTAAAGATAATGTCAAAGAATGTCATGAAAATATGCGCATTGCTTATAACTGAGAGGCAGAGAGTCCAGGCCTTTACCTTTGAAAAGCAAAGGGATTCATTGCTTCAAGCTTCAGTTTAGGACCTCAGGCTGGGGGGATGGGGTGCTGTTCCTACATAGATGGTGCTCCAGTTTTGTAATGAAAGAAAGTGAAGAATCTCTCTGCAAGGAAAATCTAAGTCTGTCTTTCTCAAGCCATAACTCTTCTATATTGTAAGAGGGGACATAGTGATTGTTCTGTCTTTCTTTGCCAGAGAAAAAATTATTTAGAGCAGGTCTAAATAAAATATCACACAGTAAAAAATAAAGATGGACTATTTAAAATCATAATTTACTTAACTACTGAAGACTGAACACCTATCTTCTTTAGTTGGGGCTTTGAAGTAATTTGCATATTGTATTCAGCCAATGAACACATTTTAATTTTTAATTAGTGGACATTAAAATATAATTAGCAGCCAAGAGCAGGATGACAAAGCTACAAAAATTCACGAAGTTCAAAGGAAGCAGCATCATTTAGTCAGACCATGAAGAGCTAGTGTTCCCAGCTTCGGGGGGGGGGGGCAGTTTAAAGCATCCCCTCACCATCTCACTTCCCCGCATTCCTTTTCAGAGATAGGTTAACAATAACATGGGGAGATCTGTCAAAGCAGAGTGTATGTTCTTCAGACCAGAGGTCTCTACACCTTGATAATCACCATGTGTAAAAGAACACAGCAAACTCCATCATAGCACATACACAACAAAATTAATTCATTTATCCAAGACACATACAACTTCAAATATGCACTTTCCAGAAAGAAGCAGAGGACAACAGAGACAATCTGCAGCTACCAAACCTGTGTCATGAAGGAACACACTACAAAATTCACACGGTACATGAATTATAAATGAAACATAACGCTTTCTCAAAAGAAGTTGGTTGGTGGCCTAATATATATGCACGTATAATTTTGTGTATAATGATAAAAATTAGCTTGCATAAGGATCATTGTATATCTACTTGGAAGTATATCATACGTACTATAAGCAATTTACAGAATTTGTCAGGTTTGCATATACAGAAATTGCAAAATGAATTAAAACACACTGAAATACAGCACACTCAATATGTATGTATATAAACCTCCCAGGATTGACAAAGATTGGCAATTATCAGCACTTGCCACCATTGAACAAGACCAGCAATTGAAGAAGAGAAGGAAAAAATCCAAGGAATATTCAAAAAAAAAAAAAACAACAAACTTTCTTTAATTGTTCCTTATATAAAATAAAGCTGTGGTTGACACGCAGTGTTGATCATCTTGTTAGTCCCCTGACTAGGGGTGTTGTTTGAGGAGAGTTCGTGTTTCATAGGCTTTTCATCTGTGTTTGTTGCCAGCAGATAAGGGGTCCCTTGGTAGGAAATCAGTGGAATTCATGTAAATATTTACTATAGTGATAATTTTCAGGCCAACTCCCAAGCAGTCAGTGAGATGATTTTGTTCGCCGAAAGAAAAGAAAAAACAAAAATTAGATCTTGTTATTAGAAAATGTGCTGTAACTTCACACTAATTCTCTTGAAAGAAAAGATCAATGATTTTCCAAAGGAAATGTTATCAACAAAGCGTGCGGTAGCCTCTTCGCTTATGCTTCTGGAAGCAGATGTTCCTTGTGTTTGTAGCTAGAGTACAGGGGTGCAGAATGGTGCTTGGAGTTTAGGGTCAACTTTGCTGTCCGCTCCGTAGATTTTACAGGCGATTTGCTCTTTGCTTTAAGAAGAGAAAGTGATATTGGAAAAAAGTCAGCACTTTAGATTAAAGCAAAGCACCCTTCACAAAGCCACAAACAAGAAGCAGGACAGAAAGTCCATGGCTTGTAGCTATCCTCGCACCTGCGGAAGAAGTTATAAGATATTCGCTCATCTTGAAGATTTCCAATGCTCCTTATTAGGTTGTTTTAAACATACACACACATATATATTTAATTAGCTTGCCAGCTTGGCTCTGGTGCTCATGAATGTCTTGGCATGCACTGCAAATAACAACACATACAAAGCATTTCAGTCCCAGGAAGCTGGTGGTGTGTTTCAAACAATGCCATCCCATGGCTGGGAACTCTGAGAGCAAACAAATCCAAGCACTTTTCCCTCAAGGAATTCCATGAGTATCACTTCCTCTGATTATTTGGCTGTTACTACAATGGAACCTAAAAGCACATCCCCTATTTTACTAGCTTATTAACATAAAACTTCCGGAGAAACCAAACCTTAAGAGCAGAACGTTACACTGTTCTGGGGAACGTGCTGGAGGAGGACATCTCAGTTATTTACTTTTCAGTGAGATCATTCTCAACTTTTTATCCTTCAAATCTAAGAACTGGAAGCTATTGAAAGAGCTCAGAAATTGGGCATGTGTAAGGAGGAGGGATTAAATCCTTCAATTTTGAGTTACTTAATAATGACATGTCAAGTAACTATTAGCAAAATCACAAGGATGATTAGGGGCAAAGCATTTCTTTTTCCCTTCTTTTAGTTGGAGAACAGTTAGTTATAAGGATTTTAAAAGATGGAGATTCAGTTTGTTCTATATTTCAACCAAACCACGCTGATAGAAACTGCTGCAGAATTACTTGCCACTCAAAGTTCCCTGTAGCAAAAATACTTGGGACTTTGGAATGACCATTTAGAAGAGTCACAGTTTTGCTTTTCTTTCAGGTTGCTTCAGCACTGACACTGACTTGCCTGTCTGGGAGGTGGGCTGTCTATGTAACATTAAGTCTTCTTCCTCAGCCTAATGACTAGGGACCCAGAGAGTGTTTCCCATATTCACCTTATGTGAGAAAGTTCAGAGATTGCAAAATTACTATCAGTTCATGTGCAGCTCAAAGTACAGAGAACATGCAAGGAAAAGACATGAAACCCATCTACAACTCTAGCTGTTCATAATTCAGCATGCATTCATGTTAGCTTTTGGAGAAGGATTCTTTGACAAAAAAGAAAAAGATTATTATAGGGCTCTCTAAATAGCAGATAGCTCTTGATTTGATATAAAATATATATGCTACTGAAGGAACTTTTTTTAAATCATGAAAGTAGCAAAACTTGGGAATAGGATTCACCCTAATAGTTACTTTGTGAAGTAATTTTTTCCTTTTCAGTATGAGCATCATAGTTGGTTCTAATTTACTGCTTTCCGTTGCCCCTTTCTCAGTTCGACCGTTTCTAGGACACGCCTAAAAACTTCATGAAGGGAACCTCTTCATTTTGACTCAGGATTTCCTATCATGTGCCTGGCATGTGCAAGTTAAAGCATGATTTACCTGAGTATGTTCACTGGAAAGAAACCAGTTAAACAGCTGAGAACATTTTAAGCTCACTGAAATTTTACATTGCCTTCGGACGTACAAACCACCATTGGAGCACAGCACTTTTTGTAGGTTGGAACCATTTATTCACTCCAGTAACAGATTCACAAGCTCATCTCTAATTATGATTTCTGCCAGGACAATTATAAAGACTTTTTCCTCCATGACTGCTGTTTGCATTAAGAAGTATACTATTTTCAGAAAATATAATTTGTTAGCCAAATTGCTATGGTGTATTGTGTCTAAATATTAAAAATATTGCTTTTCATCAAGAGAGAACCAACACTGCCTAGGTGCTTTTCCCATTTCCCATGTGGAAACATCTCACGTTTCTGAAACAGAGAGCCAAAGAAGTCCAGTCCTGACCTCTGCTCCCTCCCAAAATTCAAATGAGACACTTGCTTCTGCTGTTTTCTAAAATGAGCATAGCTGAATGCATTATTAATTTCTGCTTTTTCATATTTGTAAGGCAGATCTGGCCTTAGAATAGGCTCACCTATGTTGCTATTTAGTGTCTTCTGCTCTATGCCCAGGCCAACCATGGAACTAGTTATCTGCTCAGTACAATCATACATTTTAGTAGCTATCACCCTCAGATAACCTGCTGCCCACTTTTCTCTCCAGGTGTTTCCCTGGGTTCTCTCTCTCTCCCTCCTCTCTCTCTCTCTCCTCTCTCTCTCTCTCTTTCTCCCTCCCTCCCTCCCTCCCTTTCTCCCTCCTTCCTTCCACCCCCAGATTGTGCCAGGGCTTTGGCTGTGCTTCTTCTGACCTTCACATGGTTAATGTTTGTAATTCACTATCATTGTCTTGTCTCATTGAACACACTATCAACTCATTAAAAACAAAGATTGAATTTTGAAGCAATTATAAATACTGTTCTACAGAAAATAAAGCCCTTAGAGGTTTTAAACTTTCGTTTCCAACATAAACCACCCCATGAAGAAGAATGAACTTATCTGTTGGAAGAAAATGTACAAGTGGCTTGTCTAGGAGTCAAACAGGGCAGAGCTTTGTTCCAGGCTCAGTTATGCACTGGGTCCCTTGGCTTGTAGCTAGCTAATAATAGCTCCTGTTTCTCATTTGTTCTGGAGCTCAGAGATGTTCACAAGGCATTCTGAGATGTCATTCCTAGGTCTTTGGGAGTCAGGGAAGGTGCTATGTTCATTTTAAGTGGGGAAAAAGAGTCTAAGAAGTTTTCTTAGAAGTCTGTGTAGTGAAGAAACCTAGCTTCCTTGTATCCTCCTGAAATGACTGTTGTAAGCATTGTCTCCAGAGATGCAAACAAGCAAGCATTTTTCAGGAGTATGACAAATAAGTCTCTCTTCTTTTTCTTCTTGAGTACCTAGTAGAATCAAAAGGACCAAGGAAAAAAGAAAGGAAAAAATTTCTCTCCCCATACGGCTGCAAAGTCAGACTCCAGAGTATGTTTTGCAAAACTGATCAGAGATGCTCATCACATGAACAGATCTAAACAGGAGAGCCTTCCACTGTGCAGTGACAGACAGTCTGATAGCTTCTGTCTGTGGAGAGTTCAGAGTTCACCACAGCCCTGAGCAGACAGACTTTCTGACATACCTTTCCATATTACAGATGTCAGGTTTTTTTTGTTGTTGTTGTTTAGTTTTTGTTTTGGGTTTTTTTTTTTTTTTGGTCTTTTTGAGACGGGGTCTCCTTGTAGCCCCAGCTGTCCTGGAACTCAATGTGTAGACCAGGCTGGCCTTGAACTCACAAAGATCTGCCTGTCTCTGCCTACCAAGTGCTGGGAGATGTCAGTTTTAAGAAATGAAAATGACTGTAAGGGAAAATTTAAGCTAACTTTGTAATGAAAATTTTAGTCAGGTTTATAATACACTAAATCATTACTGAAGAGGAAAGGTCAAATAATGGGACAATATATTCTATAATTTTTGAGACTATCTTTTTATTAAACTTCTTAAGGGTGCCATGCCAATTTCCCCTAGAAACCCATTTTTTTTTCATAAAGAAGGGTGCATCATTTTGACTTAATACATAAATTGCTGACTTTGCTCTACCCTGACATGTTGGCAGCAGAGGCCCAAATTTCTTTTCTTGCTTTCCTTTGGTCAGCAGATTTACAGCTCTATTCTAGTTATGAGGTCTTGTAGTATAGATCAGGGAGAAAGTGCAGGTGCCCATGAATTCCAGGTCTAGATGACAAGGCAGTTGGATGATACACCAGTCACCACAGAATGTTCCAGATTTTCTCCTTGTCTAAAGCCAGTCATTTCAACCTTTCGGGACATTTACCTTCTACTGAAGAGTGGAACTCTGAAAGGAATGTTGACCCTCTCTCTCTAAGACCATTAGAGTGTGTGTGTGTGTGCGTGTGTGTGTGTGCTGTCTGCATGTGTGCTCACATGTGTATGTAGTTGAATGCACAAGAATGAATGTGGAAGCTGGAGGTTGACATCAGGTGTCTTTCTTATACATTGATGCAGAGTCTCACACTTGAGCCCAAAGCTCACTGATCCTGTCAGACTAGCTACTCAGTTTGCCCCAAGTTTTCCATCTCCACTTCCAGTATGTTGGGGTTACAGGCAGGTTGTCATACTAGGCCTGGTATCCTCCAGGCCAAAACCAATCTTGCCAATCTTGTATACACAGAATGATAATTATGAGAAAAGCAGCTAACATTTATTTAGCACATATTTCTTAACCTCTGAGTATGATCTTGTGAATTTGCCATAACCCTTATATTGAGAAGATTAATGCAATTTGTTTAGCTGGTAGCTAATGTCACTGAGATTCTAACCCAGGTTATGTTGGACTATAGAACCCAGACGTTACCAATTAATGTGTGCCATGCTTTCATCTAGTCATTCTTCGTATCTGGAAATTCTCTACTTTCTCAATTCTGACTGCTAAAAATAGAGGGAAATACAAGTGACCTTGACCAAATAGAAGAGAGTACATGATCCCGAAAAGAAAGAGAAGGTTTCAAAGAAGGAAGTTTTAATATCACATATTTCAATAACAGTTGGAATGCATAAATACAAATGACTTATAATTGACACTGAACTGGCATATAAATAAATATTGCTAATGTGCTATGAACCATTTACTTATAGAGTTTTAATATATTTTCTGCATGTATATTTTTATTCTTAATTAGCAAACTACTTATAATGTGAAGGTATATATTAATTCAGACTTTTTGAATAATCAAATTTTATATAAGGGATTCAACATGAGATTTTCCTGTACTGATAATGTTGATTAACTCCAAATTTTCTAAAGGATTAAATAAGTACATTTAAAGTGAGGAATGAAATAAAGACAATTGCAAAGACAAGTGACATGGGGGTATGATGACTTCCTTGAGGGACTGTGCATGATCCACCTACCCTAGAGCAGCAAGAACACCCATCGGAATTAGAATGCCTGT